TTTTGGCGTGAGGTTGTAGTAGATAAGTGCATGAAATGTTTTAATATTGCTTTTGATTTAAACATTCATAATCAAAGTATTTAAGATAGAAAACCTAATTCCTAAGTAAAGAAAAGGGGTTTTTGTTTAGTTTTTAAGATTTATTTATTGTGTATACAGTGTTCTGCCTGCATGGCAGCAGAGGGCACCAGATCTCATTACAGATGTTTGTGAGCCACCTTGTGGCTGCTGGGAACTGAACTCAGGACCTCTGGAAGAGCAGCCGGTGCTCTTAACCTCTGAGCCATCTATCCAGCTCAAGAAAATTTTTTTTTTTTTTTTTCAAGATTAGATTGTTACAACTTTTCCCAGCAGATCAACTAGTAACAGACAAATTCTGTTCCTGTAATTGTTGCTAACTTTATTTTTAGAAAGTAAATCTATTTGAAATGTGCATTTTAAAAACAGTGTACAACGGAATCTATAGGTATTTTCATATTTCCCATATCTGACTTTAGTACATTGGAGGGCATATGTCACAATGTATGTCTCTCTCCCTCCCTCTCTCCCTCCCTCTCTCCCTCCCTCTCTCTCTCCCTCTCTCTCTCTCTCTCTGTGTGTGTGTGTGTGTGTGTGTGTGTGTGTGTGTGAAGGTCAGAGGACAACAGGAGCTGGTCTTCTATAAAGTGGGTCCCAGGGACTGAACCCAGGTCATCAGACTTGGTGACAAACACTTTTTTTTTTTAACCTGTTGATGCATCTTGCTAACCCTTTTTGAATATATTCATCTATTTTAAATCAAAACTTGAATTACCATCTGTTGAAAAGCACTCTCTTGTGTGCTCACTCCCAAGTATCCCTCCCTATCGTGGCCACGTGTGACTTCCTCACAAGCATGCGATGGGGGTGTCCGTCTGGACATGTTTCTTATTGGTTAATGAGTAAAACACCATCTGGCCAATGAAGCAGGAAGAGAGGTGGGGCGAGGAGACAAGGAGAATTCTGGGAAAGGTAGGCAGGAGAGCCTGCCAGGGGGAGACAACAGGTAGTCACCAAAGGAATAAGAGGTTCAGATCCTTCTCCAATATGCCAAGACCACATAGATTAAGACACAGCTAGCCAATAAGACTTCCCAGCCCCTGGCCAACAGTTTCTTAATTAATATAATGTCCGTGTGTTTATTTGGGGTCTCAAGAAGCTCTCGTAACAAGCACGACTCGTTAAGACCACTTGCTGATTCTTTTTCCTGACTCATCCTATAACTCTTCACACTCTCTTAGTGTGTATTACCATGCCTCATCAGAAGTCAGTCTGATGCTTGTCAAGTTACGGCTGAGCCTCCAAAGTCTTCTGTAATTACCTCACTTAGGACCCTGGGCTCTGGTGGCTCAGGAATTTGTCCATTTCTCAGCTTTGCTTTAGGGGTTCTTTTCTGTTTGTTTATGCTGCCTTTGTCCCACTTGGATCACATACTTTGCATTTCTGTCACTTGTCATTTCCCTGAGAGTGTTCCAAGTCTCTCCTATGCCTGCTTAGCAGCTCCTCGACCCAGAACCCTCCCTTCTTGGCACTTCTCCCAGTCATGATGGGCTCCAGATTCTCCATCTTATGTAAGCTTTGCCTGATCTGAGCTGAAAGTGAGCTTTCCTTCTCTGAGCGTTGTGTGTCTCTCTTACAGAACTTTCTATAACTACAATCAACTGCTATTCCATCAGCACACCAGATGTACATGTTTGTAGCCCAGCAGACACCCAGACACAAGCTCTGGTGCCTGCAAGACACCCAGTGACTTTTATATGAATGAGATGATTATCCTGTTCTACCTTATAGAATAATTTTACTGTAGTGAAAGAAGGGTAGAGTCACAGAATTGTCTGCCCCAGAAGAGTTGAGGAGATAATACAAAGGTTTACCAAGTATTTAGTGTTGAAAATGTTGATTCTTCATCTGTCTCAGTCAAATATGTAAATTAGAAGCTTAATAAATTCTAGTTCCATCTTCTATTCCTATTGGAAGATGAGATATTTTAAATATTTTCTGATATCCTTAAGTATTATTTGTTAAAAATCAGTCATAATCTTATATCTCAATTTATGTTCACTTTTAAAATGTGTTTTATTCCTCTGGCAATATTTTCTATTTGGCTCCAACAGTTTCTATATCTTTTGGGCAAGTGGTTTTCTGATGACTCATTCCTGGATGATTATGGCTACCTTTGAGCGTGAACAGTACTGTGGTCCCACAACTTCTAAATGCAGTGTATTTGCAGACCCATCTCATTGCTGGATTTTCTGTTACTTTTTGGAATTTTGTTTATGAAGTTGACTGATTTAGCAGGATTTTTCTTTAAATATTATTTGCAATGCTATGAATCATAAAGTAGTAAATGTTTATGAGAAATTTAATTTTCCAGGATAGCATGTGTGTGTGTGTGTATGTGTGTATGTTGCTATTGTAAGAAAGGAGAAAGGATAATACCAAAATATGAATTAAATAAACATCTATTTTGATTTCATGTTTCAAAACAGCAAAATCAAAGGAGTTCCCCTGAGATGGATAGGTGGAGAGTTGTGTACCATCTTGCCACAAGGCTTGTCCAGGCCGCCCGAAATTCTCAGCTGGAACCAGACAAGCTACGGACATACCTGTGTAATCTGAAGAAGAAGTACCAAGAGGACTACCCCAGGGCTGCGGAGCACTCCCCCAGGGCTGAGCAGGACTACCCCAGGGCTGCGGAGCACTCCCCCAGGGCTAAGCAGGACTACCCCAGGGCTGCGGAGCACTCCCCCAGGGCTGAGCAGGACTACCCCAGGGTTGCGGAGCACTACCCCAGGGCTGCGGAGCACTACCCCAAGGCTGCAGAGCACTCCCCCAGGGCTGCGGAGGACTACCCCAGGGCAGCGGAGGACTACCCCAGGGATGCAGAGAATTACCCCATGGCTAAGGAGGATTACCCCAGGGCTGCGGAGCACTACCCCAGGGCTGAGCAGGACTACCCCAGGGATGCAGACTGTCCAGACAGGACCGAGGAATGATAGCTCACAGCTTATACAGTGACTGTGTCTCAGTTTCTCAGTTTTATATTTCAGTTGAACATTACAGTATATTAACATAATTTTTACCTAAGCATTCCAGATGGAGAATATTCATTAGAATACCTTTAAAAGTGAAACTTTTGAAAGAAATAAAGGTTTTGATTTACTTACTTTTTCCCTTTTCTTTCCTTTATTTTGGTTTTTCAAGACAGTGTCAGTGTTTCTGTATCCTGGCTGTCCTGGAACTCACTCTGTAGACCAGGCCTCAGACTCAGAGATCAGAGATCCACTTACCTCTGTCTCGTGAGGGATTAAAGGCATGTGGCATCAACACCAGGCAAAGAAAAGTTTTCATTTGTGAAGTCAGGTTAAGTTTGTACTTTCCCTCACTAAGTGTGCACTCACGAGTGACACTTCCGGGCGCTGCAGAAATGTTCCAGCTCTGAAAGAACCCTTTAGGTCTGAAAAGCTACTCAGACATTGCATTCTATCCTGACATAATGCTTAATGAGTCAGTCACATCTTAACCAGGCTTCTCCAAATCAACACCAAACAGCCTTGACTTCATTAGAATGATGCTGGGAATTAAAAAGTCCTAACAGTAAAGATAAGCACTGTGTAACACGGCAAGCGAAGCTGGACTAGGGGTTGTAGGCATCCCTGCTTCCCTGCTCACGACTCGGGTTTTCTGCTTGCTGAAACAGGCAGCTGGTCTGCCTCCCTTGTGTATTCCCAGGGGACATTTTCGCTGGTTCACAGGTTCATGTCTGGTGGATGGAGTATGTTACTACCAAAGGAAAAGGCTACGTGTCTCCTGTCACTTTTGTGTGAAGAACCCTGGAGTTTGAAGGTGTTTTTATTGTTGGAGGTTGAGGTGTGTGGTAGTGGTGATGCAGGTTGTAAGATGATTCCAGTATCATTTTACGGACACCATGAGTGGTAAGATGAATTGATCTGAGGTAGACCAGCAGACTAGATCGTTTCAGTAGAGTCTGTGGTAGCGATGCCAGACTGAACAATGAGAAGAGGCAATGTATGCAGGAGAGTAGAAGGAAATGGCCAGTGAAGAGAACATACTGGCTTAAAAGACACTGTGGTTTTGTTACGGTTTAACCAGATTCAGTGACTGATCTGTCAACCAGGGGAACTTTTTGTTGAGTTCTGTGCAAGCATATGTTCAGTTTCCAACTTACTACCACCAGCACAGCAAGAGAAGTCAGGTGCATTTGTGTCCCAGAGGAAGAGCAGAGACCTTGGGGACTTTCCAGCTTTTATAATGAACTTAGGCAAACCTACTCAACCTTGGCCCTGGAAGAGAATGTAAGCTTGGCTTTGATCTCACAGCTATATCTTGGTATCCAAAGCTTCCCTCCGTGCAGAGGGAATAAATAGCTAATCCAGTGAGAGACAAAGCCTCTGCTCTGAACCATGGGTAGAAACAGCAGAGACCCTTGAAGATTTGTTTCTAATTCTGCCTTTGTGTGACAAGCTGGACAGCACAGAAAAATCTAGCACCCTAGGTATTTTTTTTAAAAACTAAAAAATGTGCTTTGAATACATTTTTATAACATTAAAATTTTTATAGCTGAAGATTTGATATATGTTATTATACCAAAATAGATCTCTTTTTATTTACTGCATATAATTTATTTCACTGCATAGAAGGTAATGGGTAGGGTTACTTGGACTTAGGATAAATGAAAATATATTTTCTTTAAAACATTTTTTTTTAAAGATTTATCTTACCTTGTGTATGTGTTTTGCCTGAATGAATATATGTATACCACATGCATGTCTGGTGCCCACAGAAGTCAGAAGTAGGCATCAGGTCTCCTGGAACTGGAGTTATGGATGGTTTCTGGCCACCATATGGGTGCTGGGAATTGATCTCAAATCTTCTGTAAGATAAACTAGTGATCCTAACCACTGGGAAATGTCACTAGCTCTGAAAAGGTATCTTTTAACAGATTATCTACTGCAACAAACTTGTGTGAAGTTAATAGTTTATTAACTTCTAAATTTACAGTGCTGTCATCCTAAAGAACTGCATACAGATGCATGTTAGCTTTCCAGATTTAGGAAGTTTTGTAGACGCGCGGGAATTAAAAGTGAAAATATTCCATTTGGGAGCATATTGTTGGCCAACAGTTGGGTCCTGATGGTTATTCTGCAGAGGTGGACGAGTTCACACGGATCTTTGTATCTCGTTGGAGGGATGTAGTCCAACCAATTTTGAATAATTGGACGTCTTCCCAAGCTCAGCTGTGTCTGGAGAAAAAGAAAGCTTTTTTTTTTAACCCCTTGAATCAATCTCAAGTATTTAGCATTTTTAAGAGATAGTGAATTTATATAACCTTCATAACCTTTGTTTATCAAAGCCTTTCCACCTTATAGGTATTCTGATGTTGTTCTCCAAGTGATAAAATAACAGTATGTGGGAAGGCACTAAGCAAAATTTAAACTATAAGCAGGGAAGGTGTTCGTTCCAGATGGAGCATCCTTCTACGTCATTTCAGGTGGAGCACACTTCTACGTCATTTCAGATGGAGCATGCTTCTACGTCGTCACCTCTTATGAGACCCTGTCACCAGCACAGCCACGTGAAAAAACCATCCAAAAGCTGAAGGTACCAGTCAGTGCTCAGGTCCTATTCAGAAAGTCCAATTCTAGAAACAGGTGATGTAAATCATACATGCTTCCAGTTGGACCCAACCCATGTAGATCACCAAGACCTCAGTGGTGGCCTGCCTGAATAAAAGATCTGGTAGTTTTAGGAAGCCATCTTTTAAAAGATTCTGTCCTGGGGATGGAATGCCAAAGGAAGGGTATTGCTGCTTTGAGAGATTTCCCCAGGAACTCACATAGCACTGGAAGATGAGAACCAACTCCACAAAAGTGCTCCCGACCTCCAGCTGTCCCACATTGCACACGTAACAGTTAAAAAACATGACAAAACCCTTTGTACTGGCCTTGAGACACTCGGCCACATTGTCATGTGCATACATTTAGTGTTCAGTTATCAACTATGTAAAGGACATCTCATTTATATTCAACCGTGGGAGGAGCTTGGGATAATGACTATGTATGCGAAGCAGACAGTGTCTGTGCTTACAAGGTGTGGTATAGAGACACTCAGACACACTTGAATATGTGTGCTGTAGAAGTGGTGGCGGCACCAGACAGTGTGGACCTGGCCCACGCCTTGCACACAGAACTGCTCCTTGCCTCCCGGGTGACTGGGATCAATTTTATCCTGGTACTTTCTGTTATAGTTTTACTTGGGGAGTTTTTAGACTGTTCTAAATTCATGTGTTCTGTAATAACCATGCAGGGCAGTTAACTACGAAACAAAGATGTAAAACAGTGAAGACATTAAAGACAATTTAAGTATGTTCTCTTTTGAAACCAGGTCGCCAGTTATCATCTGACCCATTTGCTTGCCTTACAACTGGCCCACACATTAAGATTTCTTATCAAGGCATTCAAAAAACCAGCAAAGTATATGCCCTGTGAGTCTATTTCTGAAGTAACTCTAGAGGAGCTGTTGACTCCTTGTTAAGCTGGCTGGTTAAATTTGTAGGATTAACTTCCCTTTATACAGATTAATTAACTTCTTGCTATTAATGGGCATGATACAATTTGATACTGCAATTTGTAGCTCATTTTGAAGAATGAACATTCCAAATTTATGGTTGATATATGGGTGATTTTTTTCTCTTCTAACTTGGTCTAGCCCCAAAACCTTATTAAAGAGAAGGTCTCCATATGTCGGAGAGAGATTTTCAGTTGAATAAATATTTTATGTCTTTATATTTCTATAATGCTTAAAATTGCTTTGGGATCATGAATGGGAAAATGTATTTCTTGGTATGTGATTGTATTTGTGGGGAGAAATGGAGCTGTCATTTTGAAATATTCTACTGGAAAGAAGAGCTGTTAAAATTTTAACTTATTTTGTTCTTATAAGATAGAAATATTAATACAGCTTGTTATTGAAATATAAAAATTTACATCTACTTAGCACTAAAACTAAATGCAACTTTTGAAGTTCATGATAACAAAATCAACATTTAAAGGACTAATTTTAGCTAATTTGGATTTTGCCTCATTTTTAATTAGAGCCTATGAGCAGTGATTAATTCATCATTGGAAATAGTGCATAAATTAAGAACACTTTTCTTTTGCCTTCATAATTACATCTTAGCACTTGTATGCTGGATTGAACCCTCCAAGTGCAAGGTCCTGCTCACCTCCCCAAAGAGCAATGCCCTGCTCACCTCCAAGAGAAATAAATGCCCTGCTCATCTCCCCATCTCCCCCTAGAGTGATGTCCTGCTCATCTCCCCCTAGAGCGATGCCCTGCTCCCCTCCCCTGAGAGCAAAACTGGACTTACCTCTATCTCCCGGATGGAGATTGCAGAAAGCACTCTGGAACATAGTATTAAACATGTCTTGGCATCTTCTTGAATGTCAATCAACTCATGATCAACCATTATTCTCACTCTCGAAGGGTACAGTAGTATTGTTAAAACAATGTTGATAGGTTTTTTTTCTCTTTCTAGGATTCCATACTGCAGGAGAATTTTTAAGATATTTGACTGTCTTGTCTGAGCCACATAGAGTAGAGGTGTGATGCCACTCAGTGGGCTAGGGCAGTACACAGGCGTGAAGGTTCTGCAAGCCAAAGGCAAGTTATGCAGCATCATAAGCACCCTGCCTTACCAGGGACAGAAAGGCAGCTACAGACAGAATCAACTGCTCGCCTGTGAGCACCATGCAACTAACACTTATGCCTAATGTCTTAAGAAGAATTTGACACTGTACGTATAGACCAAACTGAAGGAGGAACGAAAACTCCCACCAAATGCTGAGGCCTCCTTACACAAGGCTGTGGCTTTCTGTCACAGAGGTCTCACTGCGGAGTCCCCCACAACGGTGGTGGGTAGAGACCTCACCAAGCCCTGCAAATACGGAATGGAAGTGAAAGAAAAAGTGTTTACACCTCTTACCTTTTTAGAGATTTTTATTTTTAAATTATGGGTCTATGTACGTGAATTTGTGTTGCGTGTAGGATCCAGAGGAGGCCAGCAGAGGGCGTCAGATCCTCTGGAGCTGGAGACTGTGAGCTTTGGGTCCTTCTCCCCAGCCCAGTTTACTGTATTAATAGAAATATTTATCATTTCTATATCTTTTTGCTTTTGTTCTTGATCATATATTAGACATGAGGTTGAATCGAGAGTGGAGATTAGATGAAAAGCAAGTATAACCATCCTAGTCTTATTTTTCCATTTTAGTATAGTAGGAACTATAAGTTACGGTGAGACCTATCCGAGGTCCTCAGAAGAGAATCTTATTTAGGACTAGAGCGGTAATTCATCCAGTGGAGCATGAGGACTACATTTAACCCTTAGAACCACTGTTCTGGTGGCATCTTAGTGATCAAGTGGCTAGCTAGCCTGCTTGATGAGCTACAGGTTCTGTGTCTCAGAGAAGTGAGCATTCAACTCTGCCCTCCGACCCATCCCCCCTTTTTTTTTAAGTTTTAAAATTTCTAGATAGCCAGGGCTTCATTGCGAGACTGAGTTTTTGAAAGGGGGTGTAGCTAGAGTACCGACTTAGCAGTTGAGGGCAATTGCAATTGCTGTTTTTTAAAGCAGCCTGGATTTGTTTCCCAGTACCTGTGTGCAGCTGGCATCTGTGTATAACTTCAGTCCGGGGGCTCTGATGGCCTTTCCTTGCCTCCAGTAGCAAACAGGCATGCATGTGGTATGAAGACAGACGTGCATACAGGGAAAGCATCCATACATACCCAGTAACCGCATCTTACTCAGGGTATCACATTGTGGCTAGGTGTCAACATTTCAGTTCTCTATTACAGAAATGAAATGGTGTGTGATGTTTGAGACTGTCACACAGTACACTTTTGTGCTCTTTACTGAATTATTTGCTGTAAATGTAGAGAAAACATGGTAGCGTCTCTGACCACAGGGGACTTGATAGTAAGGTGCTTAATTTTGCCAAGTAACATGCCTTTTGAGATTTGCCCTCATGTATTTGAACATTTCCCCTCCAGTTGTGGGAGGAAGTGTGTCATGGTGGCAGGCTTCGAGAGTCTGAAGCCTCGCCCTATTTCCAGCTGCTCTCTGTTTCATGCTTGCCATTCAAGACGTGAGTGCTCGCTCAGATCCTGCCCCAGGTGCCTGCAGCTGGCTCCCACCCTTCCCTCTATGGTTGGCTCCTAACCTACTGGAGCTGTAGGCTCAGACACACTCTTCTGTAATTTGCCTTGGCTACGGCTTTTATCACAGCATCAGGAAAGGAGCGTATAGGATGAGTGGCTCCGGGGTAATGCCACCAAGCCCAGAGAGCTGAGTTTGATGGCTGGAACCATTTTGTGGAAGGGAAGAACTTTCACAAGTTGTCCTCTGATCTCCATACCTGTGCCGCAGCACACATGTACTCCCCCACCCATGTACCCGCCCACATACCCACTCCCACACACACGCACATGCAAAATAAAGCTTTCAAAACTGCACATATTGGATGAGATGGAGCAGCATGCTCTGGTGGGCGCAGTGGAGCAGCCCTGAGGCTCTGCAGCTCTGCAGCTCAGCCCTAAGCATCTGTGTGGCTTGGGTCAGCATCCTCAAGGCTTGCTTCCTCCTGTACAGATGCACTTGGCCCTGCCCCTCCTTTCACGGAGTGCTTACTCGACAGCTGCATGTCCCAAGTGTACGGAAGAGCAGGGATAGAAAGGGAAGATGCGGGAGTAGCACTACACCCTCCCCGGGGCAGTCATCTCCAGTCAGGTAACTAAGAATGAAGGCTGGGAGGATTAGCAGATGTCCTCCAGCGGAAAGTTCAGAGTGCCCTGGGCAAAGCATATGCTGGCATTGGAGTATTGTTCCTGGACACTAAAGGATGGGACCATCCCTGGTAAAAGTGGAGCCCTCTGTCCCTTACCAGATCCCTAGTCAGTCACTGGAAGTACAGTTGGACAAATCACTAGCTTAATCTAATTCTAAAGCTCCGTGGAACTCTAAACGACAGAGCTCTGTCACTTACAGGAACAGTATGATATAGAGCTATTTAACATTTTAGACATCAAGATGTGTCTGTCTTCACTCTGCTAACAACACTGTGTGCACACCTACTGATCCTTCTCCTCTCCTGAAACCAGTATTTTCCTGGACATCTTTTTTCTTAAGTACTTCCAAAATATATCGAAGAGGGAACTCCAGCTGCTTTCTGGGTTATCTCCCGTCACTACCCTGAGTCAAGGTCACTGCAGCATCAAGGTCTGTCACCGCCGTCTTCGTGTTCCCCAGTGGCAATCCTGAGACCCGCACAGCCCATCCTAGGAGACTGTCCGATAAACTCTGTGAAGAGCTCCACGGCCACCCAGAACCCTCTCATGATGGCCTTTGAATCTTCAATCCTCTTGCTCTTACGATTTTCCTGTTTTTGAAAACTTGCTTAGCATTTTTACATATTAATTTTTCTCTTTAGAAAAGAAAGTGGTTGAGCTAGATGCACTCTGATGATTTAAGCTCCAATAGGGATATTCTCTTTCCTTCCCCCACCTCTCTGACTCCCTCCCTCCCTCCCTCCCTCCCTCCCTCCCTCTCTCTCTCTCTCTCTCTCTCTCTCTCTCTCTCTCTCATCTGTGTAAATAAGATGACACCTTGCAGGAATCAGTTCTCTCTTTGTACCCTGTGGACTCCAGGGGTGGAACTTGAGTTGTCAGGCTTTACTGGCAGCTGCCTCTGCCAGCTGAGATCTCACTGGTCCAAGGGAAGAAATTCTTGTGGTTTTGGCTCACAGCTATATTTATGAGAGCTTAAAACAATACTGACTCTGTTGGAGTCAATCAAATGCTTTTTATTGGAATTTTATTTCAATCCCAATAAGTTTGTGTGTGTGTGTGTGTGTGTGTGTGTGTGTGTGTGTGTGTGTGTGTGTGTGCTTTATACTTATTTAAACCTTTTAAGGGCAAGGTAATTCTTTTTATCTTGCTAATTCTTAAGAAGGTATTTGGCTTGACCTTTTTTGGTACGGGGATTCCAGAGCACAAAGCAAGTGGTCACTGTTAAGATTGAAGAGATTCGGATACATTAAAATTTACACTACCTCTAGGACATATCGAGTCAATATTGATTGAAAAATGTTGAAAATATGACTAAAACTCAAATAGGTTTAAAATGAGATTTAAACATCTAACCTGTACCCACATGATGCTTGATTAATCCTTGCGTTGAAAGAGTATGGAACTGTAAACCAAAATTTGCTTAATCTGTCCTGACAGTTAATTATAACAGTATTTATGTGGATGGAGCGAGGCAAGCATCACAAGGACTGGTTTTTAAGTGTGAGTTTAATGCGCTGAGCCCGTGTGTCTGTAAGCTTGTCATACTTGCTTATGTAACGACGCATAATGTTTCTGTACAGACACATAGTGGATGACTCTGCTTTGTAGATAGACATGTTTCTGATTCTACTTTCTCTTTTGACTGAAACTGGATAGACTTTTTCCTCATAATGATGTGATCTCTTGTGCGTACATAGTGTGCGTTCTTGAAGCGTTGTTTCCCTGCAGACCAGCCTCGGGTTCCCGTGCAGCTTTGTAATCTGTTCCCTCAGCCCCCTTGTCTCCCCGCTGTCTAACAAGTTGTGCATGCCACGCCAGCCAATTCCGACTTGACCATTACCGTGCGATTTCATCCACAACCACAATGCCAACTACTCTTCATTTATTTCAACAAGTGCTGAAGGTGCCAAGGGAAACCCACTATGCTAGACACTTGTGTTGCTGAACAAGATAAAACCCTTGCTGACTTCTTAATGGTATACCAATTACCAACAATACGGGGCCCACACATAGGACGTTACTGGAAGGTTACATCTGCACAGAGACTGGGAGACACATTGACTTAAGCTGCAGCAGAATGTAAGTGCCTGGAGTGGTGAAGGAAGAGCCAGGGAGTCGCTGTGGTCAGAGGGTAAGACTGAGGTCAGAGGAAGAGCACCATAATGCGTGTCAGAAAACCTTTTGGCGCCACATGGAATGGATACGCCCAAGAGGCCAGGGATGTAAGAGTAGGATGACTCTATCAGCTGTGCGACCGAAGTAAAGCGTCCGTTGAACTTAGGACAGGGTGAGGGCAGTTCAGACAGCCATAGTTTACCACTGCTTGCAGGTGCTCAGAACCAACAGATACCACAACAAATTAGATGTAGGAATAATAAAGACATCAAAGGTGGCATTATGTATCCAGCCACTTGCATACCTCTACCTGAATATCCCCTGGGCAGCTCAAACATGTCTGTCCAAAATGAATTTAGTGGGTGTATGGTCACACTTGGTCGGTTTATATCAGCACCACTGGGGCAACTGGACATGGGGATTTCTAGAGCTTGATGGTATAAATGGCTAGTACACGCATGAGATGTAACTAGAGATTATCATGTTAAGTCAAATATGCCATACCCCAAAAGCTTTCTCTCTAGACTCAACTATATGAACAGTAATTGGAGGAAGATAAAATTGTATGCTTTCTCTCATAAAGAATTTAGATTTAATTCTATAGGTACATACACATATAACAATGTAGCATCTAGGAAACCATACTAGGAAACATGGTAGGGGAGGAGGCACAGGAGATACCTGGGGAGGGCATGAGTATAAAAAAGGCACAGTGACATCAATGCTTGAATGTGTCATAATGAAACAATTATTTTGTGTACTAGCTTTTAAAAGTTACACTGGGAGATTCTGTTGCTGCTGTCGTGGTAAGAGGTGACAGTGGCTCCATCAGAATTAGACACAAAGAACTAAGTGGGCTCTGTTGCTATAGACAGTCAAGAGGACCTCACTGCTGTGATGGCAAAGGAAGGAAAGAATGTGGAATAAATCCCAATGCCCGCCTTGAGCTATAGGGCCAGATGCTACAGAGGTAAGAACCAGACCAGCCTGGGGATGGATGAGTCCAGCTGGCATTTTTATCCCATGTGGCGATCTCAGGTAGACAGAGAGGACGGGAGATTGGGGCTAGAGATAATGACTTGGAAGTTGCTGTCATGCACATAATAATTCAAGTCATGGGACCAGGTAAATATTTGAGGGAGAGTATACAGCCCACTGGCCATGGGCAAAGGATGTTTTTTATCAGGATGATGTGTAATACAGATGCTAGCAGGAGAGAATGGAAGCTGGTGGCCTGGAGTGCTCTACACAAGGTTGCCACACATAGAAAGACACCAAGAGACTGTCAACCTCCTTAAAATCTAAAACTCTTGTTCTAAAAAAACATAAGTGAGGTTTTGTGCTAAGTGGAATCGCCTGCAATGGCTTTGACTTTAATCCCGTCATTGTGGCCACACAGAAAATTTGCCAATAGTGAAGAAGGCAGTTCAGATGTAGCATGCTCGCTCAGTGAGGGCACGGACATGGGCAGGACAGGTCTTGAGTTCCATCCCACAGGGTGCAAAAGATCCTCTCTCAATCACGATCTACTGTGTCTCTTTCATTCCATCAAAGTTTCCCCTTTCTCTGCCCATATTTAATTCTTCATTTCCTCCTCTATTTCATTACACTTTCCAAGCTTAGTTATTGGAAGCTGTAACTACATAAAACATCAAAAAAAAAAAAAAAAAAGTCCTATTGGGGGTGTTGCTTACTATTTCCAGTCCCCAGGTCCGCATTCATGTGCGGGGGTGATCATTCAGAAACAGTCTGGTGGGCTCTTAGGGGTAGGGGCAGAGCGATACAGCCAGGGGCCATGGCTACTCCAGGTGGAGCCCATGCTGCCTAGTCTCCCACCATCTAGGTTCCCTGCACTGCCCACACCCGCCACTGTGCACACAGGATGTGATGGCCAGATCTTCTGTTGGGGAAAGAGGCCGGTGCACAACTGTCCTAATCAGGCTAACAGCCGAAGCCAGGGCATTCATTGACTTTGGATCAAACTCTTGAGCTACGAGGAAGGTCACCTGGGGCTTTCCTTAAATTGTCTGGTAGATTGACAGGCCCAGACTGCAAAACCTCGGCCACCAAGGAACGTGGTTTCCATTGAACTCAGTCGTGGAAGATTTGAAGTCAAGTTTGTTAACACAGATAGGGAGCTCTTGTGCTGACTGCTGGCCACGAGGTGACGGATGTACTCTGAATTGTACTTGAGGGAGTGAACTATATGCATACACTCTACAAATATGCAGTCTCAGTAGCACCAAAAGAAGCGGCCACAGTAAGCCATGAGACAAGGTCTCCTTCCTTTGACGGGAGTTTTAATACATTTGCTAACACCTCCTCACACTGATGATGGTACATGACATGGTAAAAATTCATAGTCCACAATGAGGCCAGAGACATCCCCACCACGCAAGCTGATCTAAGAGAACAGTTCATGCACCTCCCTCCCTCCCTCCCCCCCCTCTCCAAAGCCTAAGAGTACCTCCATATGAGCGCCAGGTTGCAGCTTCTGTCCTGGACGTAGTCCTTCGTCTTCTTGAGAAGAAGCTCCACAAAGTCAGGGTTTCCTTTTCTGGCAAAAACCCAGTACAGAATGGTATTCACGCATATTTCAGTAAATTCCAGGTTGAAATTGAGTTCAAAGCGGTGCCCTGACTTTTCCACAAATGCAATATAGTCACTGAGGAGTGTGTCAAAGCCATCCAAGTCAACATACCTCAGAATTTTTGCCAGCGTTCTGTAAATCCTGGGCTCGTAGCAGTGGTATCCCCACTGACCCAGGAACTGCAGAGAAGGTCTCTTAACTATCTTGTCAATGAGGTTGCAGAATATATTGCCTCTTGGAAAAGAAGTCTTATGGCATAATTTAAAAGAGTTATTCATCGCTTCTCAAGGGTAGAAAGGAAACCACTGGCAGTCATACTGTGATCCTTCAGTTACATATTTTGAGTTGTAGTAGGCACTACTCCACACACACATACCCTTCAGGCCAGCCGGAGGGAACACAGTGCTGGGTGACATCACAATACTTGCAGAGCTGTCATCAGCACAGGTCAGCAAACTGAGGCAGCTTGTGTAGTTGGTGACATTGGAGAGACCCAATGGGCAGCAATGGTGTGCAGGAGAGCCTGGAGGGACACATTTAACTTCCCCAGAACTCCGCTCTGTGTCTCTCAGGTGTGAGAAGCGCCCTGTGTACATCACATTAGCTGCCTGTGGGAACCGAGTCAGGGACGGCCCCTCAGGTCCTGCCCACTCTAGTCCTCACAGGCTCTTCCCCCATTTCGAAGTTGCGAGCGATGACGTAGGTCACTTAACTTGCCATCCCCGCATGTAAAATCCTAGTAAACAAAATCTAGAAACTTGGTTTTAGGATTTCAAGTTTTGTAGATGTTATTCCTCTGCACACCTGGCAGGAGCCATATAATTGGAGCGTTTAAGGAACTTCAAGCAAGAGTCTCTGAGGGGTGAGTGGGTCATTAGTAGTGTAGGTCTCGATGTGGTGAGAAGTTCTTACTCCGTTTTCTAGAGGGAATGCCATCCACATGTGAACCCAGTTCCAAGGGATCTGACACACACACACACACACACACACACACACACACACACACACACACACAGGGGGGGGAGGGAGAGGGAGAGGGAGAGGGAGAGAGACTTCACAATCACATTGGTGGAACACCCACACACTTAGCAGTAACAATGACAATGAAGAGAGCTGAGCTCCTTGCCAGGAGGTAACAGAAGGGCCAGCCTCTGTTGCCAGTGCCACCTGGACTTAAGCAGCTCTGCATGTTTCACAGCTTTTTCAGACTGGAGCAATGGCCTGGGTTCTTGGGGGGTGGGGCACTTGTTGCTGGAGCAATGGGGGGGGAGGGGGGAGCCCACCCAGGGGGCTCAGCTTCAGTTCCCAGTACCCACAGCAGATGGCTCAAAACAACCTGTAACTCCAGCTCCAAGGGATCTAAGAGCCACACCCCTGCATACATACCCTCTGTGGTAGTTTGAATGTAGTTGGCCCCATAATCTCATAGGAAGTGGTTCTATTAGGAGGTGTGGCTTTGCTGGAGTAGGTGTGGTCTTACTGGAGGAAGTGTGTCACTGTGGGGGGGGGCTTTGAGGTTTCCTACACTCAGGAACATAACTGAACAGATGTCTGTTGCCTGTAAGACATAGGACTCTCAGGTAAGGCTCCAACGCTTCATCTGCCACCACCATGCTTTCTGTTATGATGATGATGGATTGAACCTCTGAAACTGTAAGCAAGGCACCCACTTCAACTTTTCCTTATAAGAGTTGCTGTGGCCATGGTGTCCTTTCACAGCAATAAAATCCCAGGACACATTCCTAACTATACAGATAAATAAAAATAAGACAAACATTTAAAAAACAAGAGTATCTCGAGATACATGACAAAGTGACTTTTTTCAAGCTGATCTTTTTACTTTCCTATTTGTGAATCAATGTAAGCTTTAGGAAATGCTAGACTTGAGCTCTCTTACAATTTAAATTTGCAAAGAACTGAAGACAAGTTGATAGATGTGTCTCTCCCTCATGGTGTCTACTCACATTTCTCACAGGATTGCTGAACTTACACTCAATTTTTAAAAAGACGTATTTTATGTTTTGCTTGCCTGTGCCTGGTGCCCTCAGAGACCGGAAGAGGGTTTAGATTAATCTACCTTGGTGCCCTCAGCCCTGGCGCTGGAGTTAAACTGTTGTGAATCACCATGATGTGCAGGAACAAAACCCAGGTCCCCTGGAAGAGCAGCCAGTGATCCTAAGAGCTGGGCCATCTCTCCAGCCCCTCGCCTCAAAATTTTATACATGAGTTTTCCTCGGTCTCATATCTTACCCTGAGGCTGGTCATTTCTGGCAGGGAAGGCAGACTATAGATTAGCAATATCATTACACTTAAAAAAAAATAAACAAAGGATGCACATTTATACAACAAGGACATCTGTTCAGTTATGTTCATAGCAGCATTATTTGTAATAGCCAGAACCTGGAAGCAACCTAGATGCCCCTCAACTGAAGAATGGATAAAGAAGATGTGGTGAATTTACACAGTGGAGTACTACTCAGCAGGGGAAAAACAATGGAATCTTGAAATTCTCAGGCAAGTGGATGGAACTAGAAGAAACCATCCTGAGTGGGGTAACCCAGACACAACATGGTATGTACTTGCTCATATATGGGTATTAGACATAGAGTAAAGGATAACCAGCCTACCATCCACACCTCCAGAGAAGCTAGGAAACAAGCAGGACTCTAAGAGAGACATACATGGTCCCCTGGAGAAGGGGAAAGGGACAAGATTTCCTGAACAAATTGGGAGCATGGGGGAGGGGAGAGATGGTTAGGAGAAAAAGGAGGGGAGAAGAAGAGGGGAGAGGAGGGCATGAGGGAGCAGGAAGATTGAGTCAGGGGAGGAATAGAGGAGAGCAAGAAAAGAGACAACATAGTAGAGGGAGCCATTATAGGTTTGAAGAGAAATCTGGCACTAGGGAAATATCCAGAGATCCACAAAGATGACCCCAACTAACAATCTAAGCAATAGTGGAGAGGCTCCCTTTAATGCCCTTCCCTGTAATGAGATTGATGACTACTTTACATGCCATCCTAGAGCCTTCATCCAGTAGCTGATGGAAGCAGAAGCAGACACCCACAGATAAACACTGAGCTCCTGGAATCCAGTAGCAGAGAGGGAGGAGTGATGAATAAAGGGTTCAAGACCAGGCTGGAGAAACCCACTGACCTGAGCAAGGGGAGCTCGTAGACCCCAGATTGACAGCTTGGAAACCAGCATAGGACGGATCCAGGCACCCTGCACATGGGTGTCAGTCAGGAGGCCTGGACAGTCTACGGGGGCCCTGGTAATGGATCAGAATTTATCCCTAGTGTAGGAATGGACACTGGGAACCCACTCCCCATAGACGGATACTCTCTCAGCCTAGACACGTGGGGAGGTGGGAAGGAGGAGGCTAGGCCATGGCCCAAATGATGTCACAGACTTTGATGATCCCCGTAGAAGGCCTTACCCTCTCTATGGAGCTGATGAGGGATGGGATGGGGGTCGGTGTGTGGGGGGCATGGGAGAATGGGAGGGAGAGGGAACTGGGAAAGACATATAAAATAAGATTGTTTCTAATTTAAATAAAAAGGAAAAAATAAACACAAATGATTATTTCTTAAGAACATTAGACTTAAAATTACTTAGATAATATAGGGCCGTGATGAAGTTTTAAGCCCTTTAAAAAACCAACTGTAGGCTGGACATACAATTTCAATGGAGGACACTGACTCTGTGTTCCAGACAAAAGAACTGGACGTGTATTGTTAATTTGGTGTCTCCATGGGAGACAGCTGACCTGGGGCTTCCTAGTTTGTTACGACATCATACCCATTTCTGTATCTTAGGGAAGCCTCTTACACAATAAATCAGCCGCTCATAGGGCCGGTGTGATGGAAGATGTCATTCTTAACTATGTTTCTCATACTGGTTAATTAATAAAGCATCATTGGCCAATAGGAAAGCAAGATAGGCGGGACTAGGAGACAAGGAGGAAACAGGAAGTAGTAAGGAGGAGTCAACATGGAGAGACTGGAGAAGGCAGAACGTCGGTGGCCTCTCTTCGGTAAGATGAGACCATGTGGAAATACATAGAAATGGGTTAATACTTAAGACAGAGCTAGCCGATAAGAAACAAGTAACTGGCCAACAGCATTATATCATATACAGAGTCTCTGTGTGTTGATAGGGGCTGGCGCGGCGGCGGAGCAAGACCAGCGGCGGGCAGAAAAACCCTACCCTTACACCGGTGAGGCAGCTCAGTGGGTAAAAGGTGGGTGCTGACAAGTTTCTCAGCCTAAGTTTGATCCCCAGAGCCCACATGGTGGAAAGGGGATTTATATCTGCAAATTATCCTTTGACTACATGCCTGTGGGTGCCCGCGCGCGCGCGCGCGCGCACACACACACACACACACACACACACACACACACACACGACAAAGTAAAAACATACATAGATTTAAAAATAAAATACAAACCAACATCTCAGGGAACAAAAACCATGAGGTTATTGGAAATTGCCACTTAAAGGTCTTACTGTGACGTTGATGTCTGAGGGGAAAGTCGGGGATATATTCATTGGTCTTTAGTTTGGTTTATTTCTGCAAAGCATCCCAATATTCTAAGCCACCGTCACTTGGCTCCTTTTATTTACTTCTATGTTGTGATAAAGAACTTCACGTTATCAGTAACCATACGTGACGTATGCACATTTTTAAAAGAATTCTGATGTTGAATTTTTTTCATGTAGAGGCTTATGATGGGTATTCACTTCTTCAAGTTCCTCTTTCAGGAGTACTTCCTCCCTCCCTGCCTCCCTCCCTCCCTCCCTGCCTGCCTCCCTCCCTCCCTCCCTCCCTCCCTGCCTCCCTGCCTCCCTCCCTCCCTCCCTCCCTGCCTCCCTCCCTCCCTCCCTCCCTGCCTCCCTCCCTCCCTGCCTCCCTCCCTCCCTCCCTGCCTGCCTCCCTCCTTGCCTCCCTCCCTCCCTGCCTCCCTCCCTTTCTATCTAAGGGATTTGTTTTCCTATTTGTCTGAGTGTGCATACATGCAGAATCCAGAAGAAGGCATCGGTGTCCTGGTCTACCGCACCGAGCCTTCCTTTGAGGCAGTCTCCTCCTGACCCCAGTGGTCCTCCTGTCTCTGAGAGCTGGGCTGCAGTCCTCATGCCTGGGCAGCCTAGACAGCCAACATCTCACCTGTTGAACATCTCTCCAGCCCCAAGTTTTCATCGAATTGTTCATAGGGATTTTATTACCAGAAATATTACCAGGTTTTCTTGCTAGCCATGTTATTTTCTATCTTTCTTTTTT